TCAAGCAGGTGTCTGTCCTAATTTGAAAGCGTCCTCCTGTAACGTAGCTGAAAACGCACTTGTTTCTGAACTTGGAACTCCAATCCGTCCGCAGTCGATCACTATGGAGCGTTTACAATCTTGTATGGCAGCTCTACAGGACGAGGACGTTCGGAAGCGAGCTGTTCAGGACGCTAAAGAATATGCGATCTCCCACGGTGAGTGCCGTCATTCGGCTGTAGCACAACAAAGACAGAACAAGGGTACTTTGGAAGTTGTATAATACAGGCATTGATTTCTGCGGTGGTCGATAGGCACGATCGCATCAAGAGCAGATTGGAACTTTTATATTGCAACGGAGTGTAACGATGTTTCAACATTTGCGGAGGCATTTTAGATCCAAGTGCACACCGCCCCTTCGCGGTAGCAGTGTATGCGTCTGTAGCATACACTGCTACATATCTGTGCACTAACGTAGCTTCCTGGGCGAGTTGATTTTATAGTAACGGGATATTCGATGTCCTCGTGTGGTTCATTGCCGGTTTTCCGATTAATCTGTGCACAAGAGGATACGACATTAAGACGGATATTAAGTACGGACGATATGGAACTAGCAGCGCACCCGCAGGAGTACATGCAAACGGCGTGATTGTGTGAACGTGTCCTCTTTTCGAGTGCGCTGCTTCTTCCATATCACGGCCGGCTAACCAACTGGCACATCGACTTCTAATCAGTGGTAAACAGTGTTGTTCATCATAATGACTTAACTATAAAGCCCCGTCGAACTCAATTTATGATATCCAGATCCTCTCAAATGTCTGTATTTACTGTTGCTGCCCCAACAATCTGTACTGACATTATCTTGGCTTGTGATTCTGTATCCTTTTTTTGGAGTTCGTTTAGACGTAACTAATTCGGTTCACGTCTGACAGACGTAAAGAAAAAGACTGCGTTTGTTATTCGTTTACTACTTAAAGTCATGTGCCCTATCATTTCCATAATGCATTATAAGCTCTCGAATTCTTGTTTATTCACATTCATTTAAACAATGACATAGCTGTCTTGAGGAGCACATGCCAGTCATACATTTCATATCTGCTCAAAACATCAAGCACCAAGCAATCTGTATTATGACATGCCGCCCTCAACTTTCCAATGCTCTGTCATTACTCGGGCAGTATTACGTTTTATCTCTTGGAAGCTTGTTTCTGTTTATTTGCACCTGTTTGTTTGTTAAAGATTGAATAGTCAGTTGCCTTTCAATATAATCAGTGATGAGAGAGAGAACAACCTTATTGAAAAAAAAAAAAAACCTCCTGTCCCAGTCTTGTGAAAAAACCAAGGCCTACCCATCAGACAAGCCTACAAGTTTCAAATGTCTGTGTAGTGCCTTCATGATGTCTCGGGAGGAGTTCACCACCAGCCACCCCTCCAAGGTCACAGGCCTTAGCTTAGTTAGGTATGTGTTTGAGGTTCTTGCTCAAGGACGCACAACCACGTTTTGCATGAAAGAAAAATTATAATTACCTTGATTTTTCTCTCATTACAGTGTAAAATCTTACAGCCATTTCATTATGTTATGTGAGCCATCACATAACATGTATACTTAAAAAAAAAAAAGACTAACATTCTTCTTTCTGCTATCATAATTGCTTCTGCTATATCTATTATGCTCATTTTATCTTGTGTCATAGCTTTTGTGTGAATTTTTTTTATATTGCTGTTTTCTATTGTTCTGTTTATCACTGCTTCATAAATTTTCTATTCTTGTCATTTGCCTTTGCTTATCAACACATTTTTCATCATGAGTCTCCCCTCAGTCTTCGTACTATAAGTCCTATGTTTCTAAAGTGACTCCTTACATGTTCTGCACAGGTACTTTGCTAATAAACTTGAAACTTTCAAAATTTTTACATTATACTCCAGGCTGGCATTGTTTTGCCCACACAAGCTAAATAAGTGCAAGTAGACAAATTACAGTTATAATCAAGTTCTAAAGAGAACATAGCAGTTAACCAAGTGTGTGCAAGTCACAACTATACTTTGCAAGTAAGTATCCCTGCTTTGAACAGCAGAGACATGCTTTAGCAGAATTCAGTGTTGGTGAGTGTGTACTGTTTCTGACTTCTCCTTTATGTCTAAAGTTGTTCTGCATTGGCATTTGTTCTATTTTTAGCTTGTTTACAGTAGAGATTATTTGTGTATCTTGGAGCGCTGCTTGGAGATGCAGTTGAAATGAGCTGCACATGAGATAAAGACAGTTGGATGTTGTGTTGCACAGGAGTAGTCATGATCTGCCATTTCTATCCAGCAAAACATTCTCTATAACTTTGCTTGCAGGTCTGTGCATGAAGTCGAAGTCGCAGGAGCCAGATAGCTACACGTTCGTGCCATTCTGTTTGCTGCCGTCACCGTACCCACGTGAGGCCTTCCAACAAGTGAAGGCGTTGCAAGAAGACATCAACCTCCTCATTCACCGCGTGGCACATGACTACAGTTTTCTTCGTGATTGCCTGCAAAGGTAAGTTAACAGCAATGAACTGACTGTCCAACAGTTGTTACTTGAACCACGTCTACAGCAGCAATATTGAATGCTGACAAATGCAAATTAACTGAAAATGCATCCACCTACAACAAAAAAGCATATGAACGGTATACTCGGCGACGAGTTATCTTGACAGTAGAGCAAGAACTATGTAGGCAGGGCTTCCGCACATTCGTATTGCTTTTCAAGTGGTACGGCACCTTGTGGCTGATTTCGGTTTTGCTCACTCACACCATTAACATGTTTAGAAAATTATATGTATCCGATTGTGATAGGCAGAGAAGTTTTATTAGTTCAGTGTTGTCATACACTTCGGGTGAGGCCTCGCTAATCCAACATCGACGTGCAGCAGACTCGCAGGCTTCCACCTTACGCTTCGGCTTACGACGCCTGAAAGGCCTCGAAGTGGCACATCTCGAATTTATTTGCAGGTCGGTCGACCCGTGCAAGGTTGTACGTGTGGTGAGGTATGGGCCCGACTGACACACTCGTAGAGCATACACAGAGATTTGATTACACACAAACAAACATTTAATTAAAACAAGGGCAATGGAAGAAGGTTACAAAAATTAACTTAAAAGAAAACAACAAAAGTTGACGCGGTGGAAAAGAACAGCTTCAAAACAAACAATGCTCTAAAAGAACACTACAACTGGTACAGACAAAGCACACATACGTAGAATGTTAATAAACTAACAACATGACGGAAATAGAAGGGATACAAAGAAAATAATTAAGAAAGGATCATGCTCGCACTTCAGAATTTTACGTGCGACGCAGCACACACAACTGCAATTATTGAAAAGCTGGTTATAATAGAATAACAGTTGAAAAAAAATCACAATAGAAAGTTCCATACAGACCAGGCCAGCTCTTGGTACACATAGGGGAGTTGACGGGTGCCGTTGAAGAACTCACCAGCTTAGTAGACGACAAGGGTGCTCGGTATTGCAGTCATCTACATTGCGCGGGTCACTCCATGCTCGCCGCCTACGCGAGACTCGCGACACCGACGACTGCACTTCTTGCTGGCTGCACGTCAACTGCCTAATTCAAGGCAGTCGAAACTCTTTCCCTCTCGAGGTAATTTATTTTTCCTCGAACACATGTTTCTCCTTTCGGTACAGATGTAGGGAAGACGCGACGGTGCCGCCGCTGCGGCGCCAGTCGCCGGATGTCATCTTCCCAACACAAAAGCGTCCTTTCTTGGACGATGGGGCGCTCGGGCGAAACGAAAATTGCAGTCGTTAGTGACAAGTGTACATATTAGTGTCATATTAGAAGTATGTCTTTCCTGGAGAACCAAGCAACACGTTTTAGGCCGCATACTGACTCACCACGTCATAGACGCCGTGTTTACTATGGAAAGTGGGTTGGCTTGAAAGATGGTACTGTCTAAGAAATGGGATAAAAAGGAAGGCATTCCTACAAACTGAACAACAACTGTATTTTACCTACAACTTCGCGTAGCTGTGCGAGTCTTCTAATAAATAAAGTGCTCTTATTTCAGCAAATCAAGAGAGAAAATTATCAGTAAACTTGTGTACTATCTTTTTGGGGCCATTAGTAGGCATGCGCTTCAGTTCTGTGGATTTTACAGTGCTGTCAAGAAAAGTTGTTGCTGAGTATAGTATTGCCTACCCCTGCTTGAAGTTGTTTATAGAAATGCAAAATAGAAGCTAGTGCTTGGAATGTAGTCAAGCTGACACATGCTATGCCCTTCGTTTCAGCATTGTGCCATAGCTTACTATATCCCGGTACAAGAAAGATTCTGCCGCAAAGATAGAAGCTTGAAATGATTAGTTGTCTGTAGTTTACTTGTAGTTTTAATTAATAAATTGTAGTTTACTTCGAAGGTGTGGCACTGTGTTCTCCCAGCTGGAGAATTGCACATTACAGTTGCTTTGTTCAGCGCAGCGCTATTCGAGTTACATTTTGTGCCCCCTTGTGTGTGTGTGTGTTTTTATACGGGTAGTCATAAATAACAGTATACCTGCTAGCTAATGACTGTTGCATGGTATTTCAAACAGGTGGTCAGTGTAATAAAATGACTTAGTCAGGTCTTTTAGCACACATTCAGAAATGCTGATCCAGCTTACCGAAGTTGCTGTGATGACCTTATTAACATTATTACTGCATATCCCATTAATCCACTGGCTTCTGCAGCCAGCGGTTTGCTGGCCAGGTTGGTGAGGCTAAAAGCACTTTGATCGGCGATTGCCAACTGACTAAAGAATGTTTATTTTTGACATTGTTTTATAGATGGTAGCACAGTTTTTTGCATTTGCCTTTTGCTTGGTATATCATCCGTTAGATGAACATAGTTGTCCATGTTTTTTAGTTGTTAGTAAATGTGTGTTTTATCTATTTAGGGATGAAGAGTGCACTACCCTGACTTTTTTTAAACATGTAATTGAGGAAGAAATGTGGTTTTACAGATGAAGAAATTATGAATCTTGTGTTTGACAGTGGCGAAGAAAGTGATTTTTGTGATGATGACGATGTTTTTCAGTAAATGGGGACTGCCAAACTGGTGAAAGTGGTACTAGATTACAACAGAGGCAGGGGAAGAGTTGATCACGAGAACCAACAACTCGCTTCACCATGAGAAGATATGAAAAATTCTACAAGAAAAGTCTTCTTTTACTTCATGGACATCACTGTTTATAACAGCTATGCTTCATTTGTAAAAGTAACCGCTAAGCGACTCCACTACACTGATTGGAAAGTCAATTTCACTGAGGCCGTTTTGAAAGAGGCCACTCTGCCCTTCTGCCATGATCGAAGAAACCAGCTTGTCGTGGCTTCGCCAATGAGCTACAAGCCGCCGAGTGGACTCATTCTCCTCGCCACATCCTGGCAAAGTCAAGCAGAATCTATCAACACTTTGTTTGCTTAGTTTGTAAGGCTCAGGAAAAAAGTCAGGGAAACGATGAAAATTTAATGTGGCAAAAATGTGAAGTTGCTCTTCACATTCCTGTGTGGTTTAAACTTTTCACGTACAAAAATCATTCTGGAGCATCTGATGCAGTCAAGCATTGTTAAGTGAATAAGACAAAGTTTGTTATTCCATGACGTTTGTTGCAGATTTTATTGCTGTTTAGGTGTGACAACTCATCCACCGACGGGCACGGAAATTTTCTGGTGGAATACCAGGCAGGAACGACTGCGCAGAGGGCAGAAGCCAATGGGTTAATTGTTGAGGGCATGGGTAAAATGATATGGGATAGAACTTATGAGACGTCATTTTATTAACTATAAATAAGCTTGACCAAACAAATAAAAAAGATAGTGGCCAACACTCCTTGAGTAGTTCCCAATTAAGATCTCACACTGGTATGTTGCATAGTTGTAGATTACCATAACCAGCAAAGGTTTTCAACCTTCCCATACCATTGAAGTTCGCAAAGCGTGGAATCTGCTGTGCAATCCATAATCCCAATACTATATTGATATTTTAGACTCCAAGGAGTGGTGCAATGAATCTGAAATTTATAATGTCAGAAGTAGCAATAAAATTTTGGTAAGAGATGATGGTATCCCAAGTTATTAACTTACTGGAGCATCATCAACACATAGTCTGACGATGAGACATCTGCATAAACTAGTTCAATGCTTTCACTTGGGCTTCCATCTTGCAAACTGGCCTTTTTGTTTTGGAAATCGCTTCCCCACATCTGTGGTGGCCATGGAAGGAAAAATATTTAGGAGGTGCAACTCGGCTCTTTGAAGTGACCGCATATAGTTGCATTGTCAGAGAGCCAATGCATGCTGCCGATGTCTTGCGGCAGAAATGGCAATCGCTGTCATTTCGGTTTCCGAGTAAACTATTTACGCTTGTTGCTCCCATCCCGCCGCAGCGACTGAGTGCGTTCAGCTGCGCTTGGCTCGTAGCATTTCCCTTTTCTGCTTTTCGTGGTTGTGGCTCTGCGCTGCAAAGCACTGCCAACTGAAATGTCGCCATCAAAGCATGTTATTCTTGTATTTTATGTGACGTTATGTGGACGTTTGCGGACGCCCGTACTAACTGGATTTTCACCTCCTAAATATTTCTTCCTCTGCGATTGCGGCTAAGCCTAGATCACAATGTAGAAAAGGTGCATCTTGGATGCAGCGACATCAGGCTGCTGCTGCAAGCAGCGTACTTTCTGATTTTATTGAAGCACCTAGGCTCAGCATTTTTTATCCCCACTGATGCGTTTCATACACGCAAGTCATACTCGGTGGCAAACACACTTTTCACCCCGGGAAAAGAATTTTCGAAGGCCTTCTCTTGCAGGAGTTGGGTGGCTTTGTGGTAGCTGCTAAGGTAGGCAGGGCGAACTTGTGCCCGAGAATAATGACACAGCTAGAACGAAGTCCAGTTGTCTCGAGCATTCACTTCTGCCTCTTCTTTCACGTTCTTCTTTTTTTTTCAACACGTTTCGCACCCAGCTGGGCCCCGCAGGCTCGTGCGTCACAAACCATCTGAAGGGCACAAGTATGGGCTAGCGCGTGTAACTTGAAGTCGCATTGTGTCATTGCCCCTCTTTCCATAGTGCATCGTCCCGATGACTGTGTCGAACTGGTTGCATGACGGTCATTCACATACCCTCGTCGTGGATGTTGTTAACGTCAAACAACATTGTGTCCTCGGCGTTTCATTGCCTGTCGTGATACGGTTTTATCCTGACAACATGCACAGTTTCCGTGCGTTGCCGCCGTCGGGATGAAATATCCTGTCCCTCTGGCATAACTTCGTAGTTGAGCGAGCTGACGCGGCGGAGCACTCTGTACAGACCGAAATAGCGGCGAAGCAGTTTTTCTGACAGGCCACGTATTCGTACAGAAATCCACACCCATACTCTATCACCTGGAGCGTACTGGACTTCCGTTCTTCGCAGATTGTATCGGTGCGTGCCGGTTTTCTGCTGTTGGAGAATGCGATATCGTGCCAACTATCTGGCTTTACTTCTGCCTCTTCTTTCACATTCTTC